CCGGGCCTCGGTCCTTAGTTGAGCCTTTAGATACCTGGGCCAGATTACACTGGAGAAGGACAGGTTGGCACTTGTCTATTTCTCAGAGAAAAAGCTGCATATCTACCTGTCTCGGGGAGATAGTAAATGCCGAGATCTTAAATGCATAGTGTGAAGGGAGTAGGAGTGACCAATAAGCAATAAGCCCATCTGGGCAGGCACTTCCCGCAGACTCTCCCTAGCCCAGAGCCCCATCCTCCAAGGCTAAAGGACCCACTGTTTGGTTATCCACTTTGTTGTGGGGGCGGGGGCGAGTGGGCAGGCAGCTTCTCACCTTAAAGGAAGCGGGAAGAGTCCAGGGCTTCAGCAGTGGATGGCCTGTTTCAAATTTCTAGCTTTCCTATAGCCATCCTTTTTCGCTTCTGGGCAGCTGTGACATAATCATTAGGGCTAAACTGTGTTACCTTGTACAGAGAGCATCCTACACGTAGATCTCAATTTTCAGGGCCAAGCAGGAGGTGGTGGAAGTCAACCCATGTTGTATGTTGTTGTTGTTCCCACTGCAAACAAGTCTCCTAAAAAGTCGCTGAAATTGGTGAACTCTCTCCTGTGCAACACAAGAAGAGGTGTGTGTGTGTGTGCGCGCGTGCGTGTGACAGAGACAGACAGACAGAGAGAGAGAGATAATCTCTCAAATTCTAACAAATAAATATATAGAAAATCTAAGTTTTGGGTAGAAGTCTGTAAAAATAGAGACACTGAAAAGAATATCTGATCTTTCCATATTTCTGAATACCAGTGTCCAAAGACAGGAAGCTTTTTATCAGGCTGATTTTATCACAAAGCAACAAAAGGCTGGAAGATTGGTGGTGTAAAGAGATAAATAACTTTCTTTGGAGGCTGCTAGGACAGGAGGCAAACTGGAGGCTGGTCTCAACTAGATTAATGGTAATTCCGGCTCACACATATGTAGGAACTTTTACATCATGTGTTTCTAAGTGCTTCCTTTATGTTAACATTTGACTTTCATAACAATCTTATGAGATAGATTCTATTATTTTACCCAATTTATAGGTCAGAAAATGGAGATACACAGTGTGAAGAACACCAAATATTTTGGAAGTTCTACTTGGGCATTAATTATTCATCAACATAAACGAGCAATTGTCTTTCACTTTGTTCTTTATCATGGAGGGGAGCTGAAGAGGTGACTTCTAGGGACCTGGGGCTGACTTCTTATTCTATTACAGACTAATCCTATTCCAAGCAAGCTAAAGACATGATCATGCAGCTGAAGTCTCTGGAGTCTTTGCAGTCTCAGGACTGGATTTTTTCTACATAAGTGACATTTGAGAAAGGAATAGTGTACCTGTGTTCCATGTCAGTTTGTCAGCACAAACATGTGGTGAGGACAATCCCAATGCACATAACAGCTTGTGGACTTTGTGATTAATGTTTTTCTTCTTATATGGCATTGTCTTTGCTCATTTCTGCAGTGTTTTCAGGCATCTATGTATCAGGTTTTTTTTCTTTTTGCCTTATGCTATTTTTAGAACCTTAATCCTCCTTTCTTTATTTTTTTACATATCCAAAGCAAAGATTTCTATAAAAATCAAAGGCTTAGTTACATATTTTATATATATCAAAACAATAATGTATCAAAATAATTACACAGTTTTTAAAAATGTGCTTCCATGTATCACTTGAAATCATCTTGCAAGCCACTACTGCCCTGATGATGTCCTGTGAGAAGGATAAGGGGTAGAAGTAGGGGAGGGACAAATGAAAGGAAAGGTGCTCTAAGAGCCAGGCTTCATACTAAGCTCTTTAATATGAATCTCATTTAATCTTCACACAATATTCTATTTTATAGGTATTTGTTATCTCTGTTTCACAGACAGGAAATTGAAGAGGTTAAGGAAAGAGCCAAGAGTCATATGGCTAGTAAGTAACAATGCTGGTATTAGAATCAAATTCGTCCTATGCAAAAGCTCCTGCTTGTTGCAATAAAGACAGTAGTAAAATAAAGACAACCAGAAGGAGGAGAACAAAAACTTAAGGAAACAAGGGTGTTAGAAATGTGTTACATAACACAATGCGGTGTGAGAGATGGGAGAAATGGAAAAACAGAATCACTTCTATGTCTCAGTTCTTCCTTCCACTATGTATGTAATGACCTAATTTCACTCATTCATTCCATAAATAATTATCAAATGTTACTATCTTCAAGAAACTATATTAGGGAGCTTCTTTTATTCCTATCTCCCTGGCACCTAGCACAGTGCTGGGCAAACACCAGGTGCTCAAGAAATATTTGTAGAACAATGAATGAGTCTACTGGAGGAAAGAATAGACAAAGAAACATTTGCAATACAGCATGATTAAAAACCAGGAAAAAGGCTTGGCACTGTGGTTCATGCCTGTAATCCCAGCACTTTGGGAGGCTGAGGCAGATGGATCACCTGAGGTCAGGAGTTCCAGACCAGCCTGACCAATATGGTAAAACCCCGCCTCTACTAAAATTACAAAAATTAGCCGGGTGTGGTGACATGCGCCTGTAGTCTCAGCTACTCGAGAGGCTGAGGCAGGAGAGTTGCTTGAACCCAGGAGGCAGAGGTTGCAGTGAGTTGAGATCATGCCATTGCATTCCAGCTTGGGCAACAGAGCAAGACTCCGTCTCAGGCAAACAAACAAATAACAACAACAACAACAAAAAATCAGATTTGAATACTCTACCAGAGAACCTGACTTAGGAAAAGGGTCAGAGAACATTTCAAGACCAGGTGGTACCTGAGCAAGGTTTTGAAGTAGAAATAAAAGTTAGCCAGGCAAAGAATTGGAGGATGTGAGGAGAGGACTCTCAGTGGAGAGACCAGACTGAGAAAGGATAAGGAGGCAGTCAGTTCGGGAATTTGAGAGTTCAGTACTCTTAGTCAGTAGAGAATGCTTGAGAGGAGACTGGGGAGGGAGGTGTGGTCATGGAGGTCCTTGCACATTCTCTCTGCAAGTGTCCCTTAGCTCTGCCCCTCCCTTGAATTTTGAAAGTTACTTGTGCTAACAGAACAAAGTAATTGAATGCAAGAATTAGCAATACATTTTATTATTTTATTATGGTCCCGTAATAGAAAGCATATAGCTTTTTTGGATTGCTTTTAATGTTAGGATTTAGAACTAGTGCTCAAATGGAAAGATAAAACAACAAAGTCTTATCTTTCCATTTGAAGGGAAACCAAATTATTTTTCTGGTTCTTAAGGGCGTATTCTATTTTAGCATAGACAAAATTTACAAAAACATACAACAAAATCCAAACGAATGTTCTTCTATGCTTTTATGAGGGGAGAGGTGGAGGGGATTTCTCTTCTGATTTTGGTTTTTAATGGCTATATTTTTCATTTTGTATATTATATCTGAGTCAGAAAGTAAAAACGTATTAAAAAAAGGTGAGGTAGGGAATTGAATGACAGTAACAAGTGCTATCCTTTTATCTTTTTAGTAGATGTTTATGCCAGTCAAGATCCTGGATTTTCATAATAGACTTTGACAACTTTTGTTTTGTAAGGATCTATTATTCCAGATTTTTATTCCAAGCTCAGAGGTCTGCATACCTCTTTACCATATCCATGCTTGTAAAATACTGTTGGTCATAATGTTATTAGGAAGGGAATTCAATTACTTCTACCACCCAAAGCATTATTTGAAATGTTAACAAATGTCCATATGAAATGTTTTGTGATAGCACGATTTCCTCTATCATAACTAAAATAAAGGAAAAAGGAGAGGAGACAGAAAAAAGGACTAAATAATACTCATGCCAGACAGTCCAGCTTAGAGAATGTCGTTTCCTGTATATGATTATTTCTTGTTGGCTATTTCCGCCTATTGCTCCCAATAAACCTAATGTGGATTCATCATTAAAATGACTACCATCTCAGTTCCCTGGTTTCCCCTTAAGTTTGTCTCTTTTGTTCACTACTGTCACCCTGGTGCCTCACACAATGCCTGGTATAAACAGACACTGGTACATGTTTTTGAATGAATGAATGAAGGAAGGAAAACCTGTTTCTTTCTCTGTTTTTTGACAGAAAATATTCTTCAGATAAACACTTTTTTCATGGACCTATTAAAGGCCTTTGCAAAATGATTTTGTGCATTGTTTATAGTCAATATAAATAATTTTAAATTGTTTATTTAATTTGCATGGTTGCCCATGATTAAGAGTATAAGCTTGGTAGGCAAGGCAATGTGGATATGAATCCTAATACCATTATAAAATTGGGCTTCCTGGGCTCAGATCTTGATTCTATCATCCAACTTCCTGGCTTCCAATTTTGGCTCTCCCCCTTTTCACCTGAGTTACCTTGAGCAAGTCAGTCCACCTTACTGCTTCACTCATCTCTGAAATGGGGAAAACAAGAGTTCCTACGTCACAGGGATTTTAGGAGGATCACATGAGTGAATATTTGTAAAACATTTAGAATCATATCCGACACTTTTAAAAATAGCGGCTATGGTATAGAATTATTGTGATGATGATACTGCATGGCACATAAAGGCTCAATAAAGTAGGATTGCTACTATAGATATTATTGCAATTCTTCATTTCTATAATCTGCTATGAGGATTTGGGGCCCTAACAGCCTTTCCATTTTTTGGTCCAGTGAAAGTCGTATTGATTCTACCTTCCCTTTCATTTATAACTCTTTCTACCCACCCTATGTTCGTCCTGTCATTTTGCCTTGCGTCATTTGTTCATTTTACACTGCATACTCCTAAGGGCAAGGACTTTGCTTTTTGTTTTGGCGTAATTTAATAACACTGGGTACACTCGCGGTACTATAAAAACGTTAAAGAAGAAAAAGAAAAAAGATGCAATTTATCAACAGGCAACTTTGGCTTACAGAGGGATGGGTCGCTGTTCTGTCTGCAGTGCTGGTACTCCTGCAGGCCGCCCAGCAGCATCTAGAGGCGTGGCTGGGAGCTCTCCAGTGACCACACGTCCTGGGCAGCCACTGGGGTGTGCGCAGCGCCTGGAGCATGAGCCGGGTGGTGGCGTGCACGGAGGATCGCGGGAGGCTGCCGCCTCGGGACACCTCACTCACACAGGTCTGCTTGCTGCTTTTGCGTGGCAACTTGGTTAGAGGGACCAGGAGAGCGGGTGAGACGAAGGTGGAAGGAGAAAGAGAAAAAGACATACCGCAAAGCACTGAAAAACCAAGCAGGTGGGAGGGATTCGTTAAGAAGAGAGGCTGTGGCAGTCCTTGCTTTTAAGAGGCGTTTCGTGCATGCCAAATGGTGCTATTTAGGCTATAGTCTTGTTTCTGAAATTTTTCCAAATGGGAGGAATGTGTTTCATGGATGCAGAATATTCTTTAAAACCGTATGACCAAACTGACCTCTATTGTTAAAGTGATCTAACTAAAAGCGTTCGTGTTTCCAACTTTGCTTTGTGAATGCCTGAAAAGCAATCCAAAGGTTGAGAACACTGGGAAACAGAGTTATTTTATTGCAGTCCTGAGAATACAGTCATTACTGTTTTATTCCTTATCTTTTGAAGCAAAACTTTACTAATTCTTTAGTAACAGTATGCTTTAAAAAAAGTATCTGACACATTTTTGGCATGTGCCACTATGCTATATTTCATTATTCTTTCTGTACAGAGGCATCTGTAAAGAATATATAAAAATATATATATTATATATATACATATATATTATATATTTATTTAAACTTTGTATATTAAAGTAATTATAGATTTGCATCCAGTTGCACAGAGACACCACCTAAACCTTTCACCTGGTTTCCTCCAGTGGTTACATCTTTTTTTGTTTTGTTTCGTTTTTGTTTTTTGTTTTTTGTTTTTTTTTTTTGAGACGGAGTCTTGCTCTGTCCCCCTGGCTGGAGTGCAGTGGCGCGATCTCGGCTCACTGCAAGCTCCGCCTCCCGGGATCACGCCATTCTCCCGCCTCAGCCTCCTGAGTAGCTGGGACTACAAGCACCCGCCACCGCGCCCGGCTATTTTTTTTTTTTTTTTGTATTTTTAGTAGAGACGGGGTTTCACCGTGGTCTCGATCTCCTGACCCTGTGATCCGCCTGTCTCGGCCTCCCAAACCTCCAGTGGTTACATCTGACACACTTTAGTACAATATTAAACCCAGGAAGCTGACACTGGAATAATGTGTGTATAGTTTCTATGCCATTTTGCCACATATGTGGATTTGTGCAATCTGACCCACTATAGGCCAGTCAAGACGCAGAACTTCCACCAGTATCTTCCACCAGATGTCCCTTGTTTCACCTCTTTATCATTATCTCCACCTCCTCCTCGCTACCCCTGGCAACCACTTGTTTTCCATCTCTATATTTTCATCGTTCTGAAACTGTTATGTAAATGGAATCATACTGCCTGTGATCTTTTTGAGACGGAGTTTTTTCTTTTTTCACTCAGTTTGATGTTCTTGAGATCCATGCAAGTTATTTAGTAGATGGATAGTTTGGTCGTTTTTCATGCTGAGTAGTATTCCTGTTGTTTGACTCTATCTAGTGCTGCACTTTTTCCTTTGCTTTTTAAATCCGTGAAACTTGGAACGTCAGTGGGATTAAGGAGGTACTTGAGGGCACTTGGAGAGGAGAAAAGTGTGAGGACAAATGTGAATACTTTTATTTTCAAAATGACATTTGTGTGTGTTAGGGCAAAAGGATGTATATACTCCATCTTCATTTAAAACACTGGAGGATTGGAAAGGAGAAAAGGAACAGGACAGAAAAAAAGTACGTACTTAGACAATAAGGTATAAAATCTAGTACCTTTTAAAATTTCTACAGCCGTGCACTAATCTGTGACTTTACCTTAGTTAAGACATTTCAGAGTTCTTGAAATGAATCAAAACAATGCTTCTGCAATTGGAAGTTCCCTGCCAATCTATGCTCAGACACATACTGCCAACTGAGAGAAAGAGGCATGGCTGGAAATGACAGTGAGTAGCTCTTGGGTTTGACAGGGGTCACCCAGAGCCCAAAACAGCGCCTTTAGCCCAAGGGCAACTATCAAAGGCAGATGTTCAGGTTCAGAGACTGTCAGTGTTACACTACTCTGACCTCCACCTCATCTGCTGCTGGGAAGAGGCCTCCCAGAGGTCCCTTCAAGTCAGGTTTTAAAATGAAATGTTATTCTTTGTCTGAATGCTCACAAGCATGAGAAACCTGGAAACTGGAGGCTGTAACTAGCCAAGGGAAATGCATCACTTCTGAATAGTACCTGGAAGACTTAGGCTAAATCCTTCCCTTCAGTCAGAACCCATTGGAGAACTCCTCCCACCTCCAAAGAGAGGACAGAACAAAATATCCACTACTATCTGAAAGTATTTGTAAACATCCCTTTGAGGTTTCAGAATTTCACATTCTGGAATTTCAGAGACATATTGTCAGTTCACAGAATGAAACACTCAGTCTGGAGCCCTGACTAGATTTGAGTTTAACTGAATGCACTGCCCTGAGACTCCATTTTAATGATTTCTGTTACCAGAAACATATTCCTTGTCCTCAATCTTGGGAAAGGATGGAGTGTAGCTGGCAATGGTGGTTCCAAAGTCTCAACATAAAGAAACATCATAGCTAAAATAATTTATAACTCTTTTTATAGGCCAGTCTGCTTTTCTGAGTCTTTTGAAATGGAATGGAATCATTTGTGTTGTCTTCATAATGTGTTTTATTTTAAGTAAACATTAGCTACCTCACATCACTTTGCAGGTTGTCCTTCTGGGTCATATCTTCTCTATGTGTGGTCAGGGCAGATAATTTAATCCTATAATCTTGAGGGAATGAACACTTCTCTGTAAGTCACAAGACCAAACAAAAGACCCCCTGAATTTTGTATACCACTCTTAAACTGCTTACTTATTTGACTAATGATGACAGTCATTAGGTAGGTGTGATAAGACATGTAAATATGCTTACTATAATTCTCAACATTGCAGGCATTGTTTTTTACAGGGGGATGGGAGGGCTGTTTTCTAATTTTTTTTAAAGCTTTTTCTTTGAAGAGAAGTAATACAGTTTTTGAAAAAAAGTAAACTAGAAATGCCTTATGTGCATTGTATAATTACTTTTAAACTATATGTTAAACTGTATATGTTGCATGATTACTTTAAAACGATTTCATAATATTATCATGGTATCCACATTGAATAATTAAACCAAATATAATGCTTTCCATTATTCTTTATACCAAAATTCCTTAAAGTTCAAACTTCTTAACCTGGTAGTTAAGATCAACCTCAACCGAACTCTACACAAACGTTCTATTTGAGCTGAAGTAGACTCTGGTTTGGTGTTACCAAGGTCAAACTTCTGATCCCATGTCCCCTGCCTGGAATCCAGTCTTCTGTCTCTGAAGTCACACCATTCTTCCGACACAAAATCTACTCTATTTGCCCCAGCTCTCCAGTTCAGTTCCACAGGTCTTGGAGACAAGGATCCTATCTTATGAATCATGTTCAACATAAAGTAGGTACCCAATGGTAATGGACTGTCTTAGGAGCTGGGCTCAGAAGTTAGACAGTGGGTTGTGAGTTTTGGTTCAGTCATCATGCCAGGACCTTATTAGCTTTGGTCTTTGAGGAAGTTGTCTCTCAACCCTAATTGCTGTCATAAGAAGGGGTAGGCTTTACGCCTATCAACTAGGAAGAGAGAATCTCCAGTTGCCCACTCGCTGAGATAGACACAAATAGGAGTTTTCCCTTCTTAGGTCTCATAAAAATATGTATGTTTGGCAGATTTTATTTTTGGTAAGAGATTCTAGCTTTATTCTATTCCTGTGACTGTATCTTAAATAATTACCCTTTGTTAAGTGATTGGAACCCTATGTGTACATGTGTGTCAAAATAACACCCTCCCAAAGATGTCAAAAAAACTAATTAAGGGGTGTGGTGCATACATGCACATTTCGTATGCGTACATTTCATGATCTTACACGTAGAAGAATCCTAAAGACTCCACAATAAACTCTTGAATCTAGTAAGCAAATTCAGTAAAGTTGCAGGATACAAAATCAACATGCAAAATCAGTTAGATTTCTATATGTTGACAATGAACTATTCTGAAAGGAAATTAACAAAACAATCACATTTATAGTAACATCAAAAATAATAAAATACTTAGGAATGAATGTAATTAAAGAGGTAAAAGTCCTGTATACTGAAAACTATAAAAGGTCAATGAAAGAAATTAAAGAAGCAAATAAATGGAAATACTTCTTGGGTTAATGGAATGGAAGACTTAACATTGTTAAAATGCCCATACTATCCACGGTGAGCAACAAATTCAATGCTGTCCTCATCAAAATCCCAATGGCATTTTTTTACAGAAATAGGAAAAATAATCGTAAAATTTATATGGAACCATGAAAGACTCAAAATAGCCAAAGTGATTTTATGAAAGAACAAAGCTGGAGCCATCATACTTCCTGACTTCAAAATACATTACAAAGCTATAGTAACTGAAACAATATGGTACCAAAAAACAAACAAAACAACAAAAGCAGTATGGTATTGGTATAAAGAGAGTGATAGATCAATAGAATGGCATAGAGAGCCTGGAATTAAGCCCACCCATATATGGTCAACTGATCTTCAACAGGGGTCCCAAGAGCACACAATAGGGAAAAGAAGGCCTCTTCATCTTTATCTTACAACTTAAACAAACAACAAAAAACTAAAAATGGATTAAAAACTTGAATGTAAGACTGGAAACCATAAAACTCCTAGAAGAAAATATAGGGAAAAACTTTTTAACGTTGGTCTTAGTAGTGATTTATTGGATATGACACCAAAAGCACAGGCAACAAAGCACAAATAGACACACAATACTACATCAAACTAAAAGGTTTCTGCACAGCAAAGGAAATAATCAATAGGATGAAAAGGCAACCTATGGAATGGGAGAAAGTATTTGCAAACCATGTGTCTGACGAATTGAATATCCAAAATATATAAGGAACAGACCTGCATAACAAATAACATGATTTTAAAAAAGGATCAAAGGACTTGAATAGACATTTATTCAAAAAGACATACAAATGACCAACACGTATATGAAAAGATGCTCAACATCAGTAGTCATAAAGAAATGCAAATTAAAATCACAATGAAATATCACCACACACACATTAGTATGGCTATCATCAAAAACACAAAAGATAGCAAATGTTAGCAAGCATGTGGAGAAAAGGGAACTCTTGTACACTGTTGGTGTGGATATAAATTAGTACAGGCAATATGGAAAACAGTATGGAGTTTCCTAAAAAAATTAAAAATAGAACCAACAATATGATCCAACAATCCCACTTTCTGGGTATATATCCAAAATAATTGAAATCAAAATCTCAGAGCGATACTTGCACTCCCATGTTCATTGCTGCACTATTCACAATAGCCGAGTTATTGAAACAACCCAAATGTCCACTGACAGATGAATAGATAAAGAAAATGTGGTGTATCCATAAAATGAAATATTACTCAGCCTTGATAAAGAAGGAAATCCTGCTATTTGTGACAACATGGATGAACCTAGAGAACAATGTGCTAAGTGAAATAAGCCAGTCACAGAAGGACGAATCCTGCACGACTCCACTTAATGTGAAGCAGCTAGAGTAGTCAAACTCAGAAGCAGAAAATAGACTGGTGGTTACCAGGGGCTGGAAGAAGTGGGGAATGCAGAGTTGCAGTTAAATTGGCATAAAGTTTCAGTTATGCAAGATGGGTTAGTTCTAGAGATTGGCTGTATAGCATAATACTTATCATTAGGCACTAAAGTGTTGTTAGTAGAGTAGATTTCATGTAAAGTGTTCTTACCACAAACAAAAGTAAACAAAAGGACACAAAGAAACTTTTGGAGGTGATGGATGTATCTATTACATTGATCATGGTGACAGTTTCACAGGTGTATAGACATGTCCAAACTTATCATTGTATACATTAAGTATGTATGATTTGTCAGTCATACCTCAATAAAGCTGTTAAAACAACACATGAGGCCCACTTTAAAATCAAAATTTTATTGCATATAATTTAACTTTTCAATGTTTCAGAGTCATCACTATAAACTTCATCTATAATGGCATAACTCAAAAGTGCTAGTTAATTAATACTTCTGGTTGACTGAAGGGATTTATAGTGTCTTCTTTCTTCAACTTCTGGGGGAACTACCAAGAAAACTATGTTTGGTATTTCCAAACTAGGAAATTTACACGAATCTTTTCAATTGGGAAAGTTTTCAACATTCCCAAGTACAGAGAATAGTGTAATGAATCTCCAGCTTCACTTGGTTTCAACAATAATCAATACTTGTCTGTTGTAGTTTATCTATACTCATATCTTTTGTGCTCTGCTACCCCATCACAATCACTACTAAATTATTTCCAAGCCGATCTAAGTCATCATATAATCTGATCCATGAATGATCACTATGTATCTCAAGAAGATAAGTCTTTAAGAATAACTAAAATACCATCACATCTTAAATATAACCAACATTTATTTTCTTATTTTAATTTTTAATTGGTATTTAATAATTGGTACAGAGTGATATATTGATATATATAATGTGTAATGATCAAATCTGAGTAATTACTATATTCATCAAACCAACATTTTCTTAATATTATCAGTATTCATGCAGTGTTCATTTATTTCTCATATTCTTTCTCTCTCTCTCTCTCTCTCTCTCCCTCCCTCCCTCCACTTAGTTTGAATCAGAATCCAAACAGGGTTCCC